CCCCGACTGAGCGCGCTGTCCGCCGGGAAGCACATCTCGGCGGCGCGCTACCACGCCGAGGGCTACGTGGTGTTCAACGAGAAGGGCGAGACGGGCAAGGTGTGCACCGAGAACCTCAACAGCACGGTGCCGGCGCCAAACCGGGACCAGACGCTCAACACCATCGCCACCTCGCTGTGCGCCGCGCTGTCCTACCAGTGAGTCCAGCGAGCGAAATAACTGCAGCACACAGAGATGAACAAGGCCGCGTGCGGTAAACGAGAGCAGCGCGCCTCACCTCGAGCCCTGCTTAACGCCTCCTTTACGCCGGCCGCAGGAAAGTGGAGTCGGTGCGCGTGCAGCTGGACGACGAGCGCACGGAGCGCTACGTGCTCATGGAGGACCCCACCGCGGCCGAGATCACGTTCGTGCCGGCGCCCTGCCCGCGGCGGGAGGTGCTCTACGTGTCCTGCTCCCAGATCGGTACGTCCCCTGCTCCTGCATCCTGCATATCGCGTTGCCACCAGACCGATAAAAAGGGAAGGAGGAGGAGTAGAAGGAGGGCAGACAGGGAAAGGTAATTGTGATCGCCCTTTGTTTTCCAGAGTGCGGGGTGAGGGCGTCCGCGACCGCGTCGGGCGGCGCGCCTCCTCGCTTGGCGGCCCCCGGGGACTGGCCGTGGCACGCCGCGCTGCTCAAGGACGGCGCGCACGTCTGCGACGCCACGCTGCTGTCGGCGCAGTGGCTGCTCACCACCAGCTCCTGCTTCCAGGGGTCAGTACCCTGACCGGCCCCAACCCCCCTGCTACTATAAGCGGGGCGAGCCGCCGGCCGGCCGGGCCGAGACAAACACCAGGTTGTGACTGCGGGGGGTTGAAATAATAATGGAAATGTGTTCGTGTCCCTCCCCACAGGCAGGGCAGCCAGACGGGCGAGTGGGTGGCGAGGGTGGGCGCCGTGCGCCTGTCGTCGCGGTCGCCGTGGCAGCAGGAGCGGGTGGCGCAGGTGCACCGGCGGATCGAGTCGCCCGCCGAGGGCAGCATGCTCACGCTGGTGCGCCTCGCCGAGCCGCTCGCCCTGTCCGACGCCGTGCGCCCCATCTGCCTGCCGGACGCCGTCGCCCCGCAGGCCGGCGCCGCCTGCTCCGCCCTGGGCTGGGCCCGGGGCGCGGCCGCGGGCGAGGCGCTGCGCCGCGTCGACGTGCACGTCGCCGCCAAGGAGCGCTGCGAGAACGTCACCATCACCTCCGTGAACGCGCTGTGCGCCGCGCCGGTCGCCGAGGACTGCGAGGTGAGTCGCGTGGCGCTCGGCATGACTCGGGCCCCGCAGCGCCCGCAGCTGTCCCTGAGCAGGCCGCGCAGCTGCCCCAGCTGCCGCCAGCTGCCCGGCACCGCGCCACGCCGGCGGCCCGAGCGGCCGGGTAATTGCCCTTCGTGCTGCTCGTGTTGTACGAGGACCGGGAGCAAAAGGCGATCGGGTGTTGCGTAAATCGCTCGATGAGATCAACGTAGGATGTGGAAGTATGGCGAGCGCCAAAGACCCAAGCGGATGTGGGAGTGCGGGTCAAGGAAAAATAGGCTTAACACACGTTCAGTGCCACACTACTTAGAAGTAACCTGGTTTAAAGATATATTGGCACTAAACGTTTTTATGATAACCGAACTTTTATGAGGAAGTTGCCAGATAAGAGGAACAAGAAGAAGGGAGCACTGGCGAGGTGGCGTGGCGTAGCGCCGTCCCTAAGCAAAGCAGAAGATGAGCGACAGTCTAGCAGAGGTTAGGATGCGTGTCGTTAGATTTCGAACAGTTTAGAAAGGGACTATGGATCTAGCACCTTGGTACCACATATACCAAAGTTTATTACGACAGTTGAGTCATTATCATTGAGTTAAAATTGTACCAATGTAATATTTCCGTACACTAACCTAAACAACGACACCGGGACGGTTTAGAAGATTGTATAAACTTACTTTTCCGAAGCCAAACTTTGCAGAAGCACTTTTTGACACTATATTGTTACGCCTGTCTAGTACGGACCCAATTTTTCTTTACAAATTCTACAAAACTTGATTTATGATCACACATCCACTCGCGTCGCGACAAAACACAGTATGGTCGCCGGCATTCTACTTTGTTTAGGGACGGCGCTACGCCACGCCACCTTTTCGGTGCTACCATCTTTTTGTTCCTCTTATCGGGCAACTTCCTCATAAACTACGCTTATCTTGCCAATCTCCTTTGAACTTCGGCGAATTTTATGGCCTTGGCCGAACTTTGATGAGACCGACAATGAAGTTGACGAACGGTACGATCAGAAATTTCGGTTAACTTCAACCCAAGGTTGGCTTCGGTACCCACCCGTGGGCAGCCTAGCGCTCTAGAGGTCTGGCCACCCAACTGGCGCCCGCGCAGTGACGGCTGCCCGCCCGCCGGGCGCG